GTCGGTCGGCAAAAAGCCCGGTGCGTCATGTGTCCTCCGCCGGGCCGGCCGGGCCGGGCGCGGCGGCAGCTGGAGTGCGCACCAAAAAACGCCGTCCCGCCCGGCGATCCGTCAGCGTCGGTCTGCTCCAGCCGTCGGCCGGCCGGAGAGGGCCCCCGCCCCCCCCCCCCCCATCCCGGGCCGTAATGGCGAGATATCAGACGGCGCCGCCGGCCGCCGGCCGTCCGCCGCACACGGCGACACGGCCGGCGGGGGGTCGGGGACCGCCGATTGCCTGGAGCCGAGCGCTGCTGGACGGCGCCCAGGGCGTCGTTCCGGCCGCTGTCGGTGGACTGTGCGCTGTGAAAAGGAGACAGGCGATGTGGGGTCGCTTGAAGTGAAGTACTCCATAGAGTATTTAACTATCACAACTCAGATAGATTTGATGTTGATATTCACTGCGGTGCGATCAAATGGCAATCGTATCTCTGGTCGTGGTTGCAACACGTTACTGGTTGCACAGCATAAGACCTATTGGACACTAGGATAATTCAAAAGGCAAGGTCAGGCATTGAACACTCAAGGTGATAAACTAGACAGCATTCAACATCCGGGTCTATTATCCGATCATGGATGTCTGAACACATTGCGTGACATGCAAGACGGCCCTTAAGCGCTGGTGGGGAATCTAATAGTGTAAATGAGCAGGCCCTCCCTGCTTGTCGCCTGAGACCAGCTGTTTACATTTCCAAGCCGCCTGTTAGGTAACGCCGGAGGCCAGTTTCGTAGCTTTCGAGAGTAGCGGGGGTGACGCCTCCGACGAACGGAGCCGGAATAGTCTCGCCAGGCCATCCAGCTGTTTTATGCGCCATTAGCAAGGTTCCCTTGAGGCTCTCTTGACTTGGAAGTGGAAGGAGTGTTATTCTTGTAAACCGGGGATATTCTGGAGCCGTGAGAGGGCACCATGATTTTTATTAGACTTCCTTCCAGTGCTGTGGAAAATGTTGTAGTTGTAACAGGCCACACCAATGCCAGCCACGCATTGCAGCCCAGCTGTGCTTCAGCTCGGAACTGGGCAATTCAAAAGGCACGTCGTTCCATATGGATCATGGAACAAGACAAGTTCAACCAAAGCTTGATGCATACGTGTATCAACACTTCAGCTCCCTGCACGAACCAAAGCCGATAGTCGCCGAAGACTGAAGTTAGCCGAAGTTCACGTTTCCCACGTAGCGCACACGTCTGTCCACAAGAGAGGAACAGCACCGAGAGTGCTGGACATGCGCCTCACTCACCCAGTGACAGAGAGGAAGTCGCACACATCCGACCGCGCGCGGTGTCAGCGGAGTCGCCCCCGCGTCTCTCCCGCGCCCAACCGGCCTTTCGGCGGGGTGGTCGGTGTTTGTCCCCGGCCTGTGCCGGTGTTGTCGCGTCGGCCGGCGGGCCGCGGCCGCGCGCCGCGGGACGCGCGTGCCGATGACGGATAGTGCGGGGTCAATTATCGATCGCGCGCCCCGCTCGTCACGCGGTCGGCAGCGCGCTCGTCACGCGGTGGGCAGTCGCTCGTCGCGGCAGGGCCGGCGTCGCGGCCCGGCCGGCCCGGCCGACCGGCCGGGCCGACGCATTTCTCGGCCTGATTGATGGGCGCCGCTATGACGGGAGATAAGAGAACTGTCAGTGCGCGGGTCGGGTGGACGCCGCCTGCGGGTCTAAATCTTGCTGTGATCGGGACCCGGCATTGGCTGCCAACACGGCTGGCGGCGGCGCCGCTCGCGCCGAGGTCGAGTGGACGGCTCGCGAAATAGTGCTCCCCGGCGGACACTGCGTGACGCTCATGGCTCTGATTGTTCCTGGTATAACGTTGCTTTGGTGAATTGGGTGGGTTCAGGTTACGAAAGACGCTTTTGAATTGCTCGGGTCTTCTGGTTTCCTATATGCAAATGGCCTGGCAAAGCATTGCTATTTGTCTACGCATTTGGAACGTTTTTCGCCTCCCCCTGATTCAAGTGATCCTTATTTTCGTTAGGAGTTCATCCTTGCGCTTCAGTATTTTTGCAAAGCTTTCTTGAGCACTGATTTTCCCGGGCACCAGTCCAGCATGGTGCTTTTGCCAATTCGGTGCAATTGTCCTATCCACTGTGTCATGATAAATTACACGAAAATCCCCAGCGTACAAGCATCGATATTCCCGTTGTTTTCCATGAGTTACGACTGGAGTCACTTTTCCGTTATTAAGTTCTTCTGTTTGTTTCACAAATGAGCTGATGATGTTTGTTTTGCCTGCCCCGACCCTTTTAACATGCTCGAATATCTCCCGTGGTTTTTGCACCGAACGTCATTATCTTTGCTGAAAAGGAGTCCTGTAATCGGTGTCCTCTTGGCCCTTGGTTCTACATTGTATGAAATGTGAACTAAAATCTGCCTTTAACACATCGAGTTGCATAACATAATTTCAAGGGATTTGAATTACGGCTGGAAGATTTCATTTGCCCCAGCTTATTCAAGCATGGGTTTTAACTCAGAATTCCGGTCCCATGGGAATGTGGTCGGCGTCAGTCCTTGCACAGAAGCCTTTATCATATAATTAAATAAGGTCACCGAACAATGATATTAAAAGCATTATAACTGTTTATGAAACTAACCCTATCAACAACAGTGGTCGTTTTTGCACTGAATTGCTTTATTTCATTCATCATAGCCTAGCTTCGGGAAGCTAGAATTAGGCAGCAAGTTAAGCAGGGAAGGCACCGTGGAAACACATATGCAAAATGTCCCAATTGTTCGACCAAAATATACGAATATGTGATGAGGGTATCTTCAGCGATGTCTTCGGGTGAGTTATAGGTGATGCGGATGTACACTGTTGCTAAAATTGTTAAGTTGCCTGTTAAGCCATAACTTTCCCCAACGTGCCGCTATATGTATGCCCCCATCTTACAGCCGTGTAGCTTGCTTAACTTGCTTGTTACCTGCGCCTGAATATAGTCTATGGTGACCGAAACGAAGCAATTCAAGGACAATACAGCGAACGAACCTTATTTACTCGATGGTGTTGATAGTTCAAATATTGCTGCATTTTAATGGTGTCGATCAGTGATGTCATTCGTGAACATGAACTTAACGTAAGGCTTTAATTATCGGCGGGCTTGAGAGTCCGCGTAAAATGCTCATAACTGCTGAGCGGCTTTGGTGTTTGTTCAACAGTAGGGCCATGGCAGCCTGCTCCTAAAGTATACACGTATACATGCATGCATACATACATGCATATATATATATATATATATATATATATATATATATATATATATATATATATACATGTGTTTTTATGTATGTGTGTCATCAATACACGTTTGAACGTGGCATGCCGTTTCCCATTGATAGTATTTTTACGCCGGATTCCAATCTCGCTGAGAAAAGGCCTTACGTTAGGCTCATGTTCGGAGATGATGTCACCATCCGACAGCATTAGAAACAGCGAAAATTGGTGTACTATAAAACACCATCGAAGAAGGCCTTTCGTTTTGTTGTCTTTAAAATGCAACCTGCCAGTCATCAAAGGATGTCTTCAAGCCCAGACAGCTAGCTCAGCAAGCCAAGCGCCGTTAAAACACGCATGCAGCGCATACAAGTAGGTTACGTGAAACTCACGACTACATCTCGGAGGGGAAAAGCTTCATACCTCCAGCGACATATTCGGGGAAGCGATAGCTGCGGCATACTCAAAAACAGACCGGCACCAAGGAAGAAAGAAAATCGTAACGCCGGAACATGTCATACAACACTAATTTTCTGGTTATTCGACCTCACAATATTTGTTGGTGCGGCGTTTCTGACGAGCATTGCTTCCAACACTTGAAGACTTCTTTTTTAGTTGTATTTGTTAAGAATGACGCTTTAAGAAACCAGTAGGACCCAAGAATGCGTGAATAACATCAGTACGTGAGGCGTAGAGGCAACGAGAGGTTAGATTCTTGCCTCGATTTTGTTTTCTGATCTCCTAGACGCCAGTGGGTCTGGAAGGCCGCTGATTTCCATGTATATATATATATATATATATATATATATATATATATATATATATGTATGTATGTATGCTTATTTTCAGGCAGGTTACTCTCCAAGCTCATCCGTTGTCTATGAAATTACAACAGGCCACCTTGGCTGATATGAAACTCGCGCATGTGCCACATCACACCGATTCCAACTCCGACTCATCGTGCATTACATAGTTTTATGGTACAGTTGGAACATTTCGTTCCAACCTCGATCCCGGGCAGCGGATCAAAATTTTGATTCGATCCCGACCCTGATTCAACAAGATATAACTCACTTTGCAGAACGTCACCGCGTACGCTCTGTTTGCATAGCACCACCTCTGTGTACATCATTGCGGAGTGTCACTTTTGAGTACGTTACTGTTGGTGATTGTCACCTCTGAGTGCGTCCCTCATGCAGAGCAGCAGGGACGCACTCAGAGCACCCAGAGCAGAGCACCTCCGGGTGCGTCTACGTTGCTTAGCTTTACTGTTAAGTACGTCCCTGTTGCGGGGTGTCGGCGCCGAGGGCCGCCGCCTCCGCCGGCCGGCGCCCGCCTGCAGGCCTGGTGATCAGGACAGCCTGGGATGGTCCGCCGCCGGATGGCGCTGCCGCTTATCGACGAGCGTGACGAATGGTGGCGACGCCCCCGCCCGGCCGGCCGCCTGCGCGCTACGATTAGCCGGCATCATCCCGACCCCCGCCGGCCGCCGCGGCGCCCCAGGCAACGGCCGTTTCAAGGATCGGACATTTCCTGGGGCCTGCGGAGTCAAAGAAATGTGTTGATAAAGGCGTCAAAGAACGTTCCAAAAAGTGAAAAGGCCAACAGTTTTTAAGCGCATTTTCCCCGCTTCACCGCTGCCTAATGTTACAACTACACGGACGTCGCGTCTGTCATGCGTGACGGGCTCCTGAGGAACACGCTTATGCACTTCAGTAGCCTAAAAGGCGTCACGCTGATCCCGATGTTGTCTCTGTTTCAGCCGAGGACGGTGCGCTGCGTGTGTTCGCCGGCGCCAACCTGACCCTCCCCTGTCCGCACCACTCGGAGGTGGCTGACCCGCTGATGGTGACGTGGTCGTGTCGCGGCTGCGGCCGCGGCCCGGCTCCGGTCACCGTCGCCCAGTACGGCCGAGACGGCAGCGTCAGTCGGTCCGACGGCCGCGTGCGACTGGTGCTGCCCACCTTCCAGCTGCACATCTACCCGGCCAGCACCCAGGACGCCGGGGTGTACGTGTGCTCCGTCAACAACGCACCCAGCGCCGAGTCCATCACCGTCACGGTGGAAGGTGAGTGAAAGGTGTAAACTGACACGCGTTCGATGCTTGATCAGCATACTACAGTGCGGAGCCATCACCATTGCACTGGAAGGTGAGCGAAAGGTGTAAACTGACACGCGTTCGATGCTTGATCAGCATACTGCAGTGCAGAGCCATCACCATTACACTGGAAGGTGAGCGAAAGGTGTAAATTGACACGCGTTCGATGCTTGATCAGCATACTACAGCGCAGAGCCATCACCATTACACTGGAAGGTGAGCGAAAGGATGCACGTGCTTGCGTTTCAGTGCAGAATTCGTCAACGCCATAGCCGAATGTCAGCAGGTGTGAGCTGTTATGTTTTCTCGACAACTCATTTAGTGCAGAGCTTTTACCGGCACAGCTGAGCTTTGATCATATTTTAATCGGTAAACCAATGCAACAAAACGGCTAATAAAGGAACATGTTTGCCTGGAAAAATGTTAACGATAACTCATTCAACTTACCGGGGTTTCTCATCCCATCATTCAATCTGCGCATCATCGAACAATTTCGCTGTCAGTTCTAGGTCACGTTGCGTCCCTAAAACCGCTTTCAATTCATGTGGGTTGCCTCTCAGATCGCAACATCTCGGGCGCTTCAACTCTCGCAGCACGATGCGATCTTCGCTTTAGATATTCTTGTGATCTCTGTCATCTCTGCCATCCTCATTAGTCGCAGCGGCTGCGGTACTCACACATACCATGCCTCTTCACATCAAAAGCAACTTCCGTTCTGGGGCTGGCGCTTGATTGAGTCCACCGATCTCCCCACCACACTGCGCTCGGGAAACTTTAGAGAGCATCAGCCTTGATTACACTCAAAGGACGAAGCAAAACTCGTTGTCAGACCGGGCTAACTAACGGTGATAATGAAACCGCCTGCAAGACAAGAAGTTACCCACAGCAACCGTCAGAATTTCGAATTGTCCGCCGTCTCTGCGGACGCTCTCGTCAACAGCGTGCCTTTCATCCCCATATCTCCGCGCCCTGGTTGGGGAGTCTTCCTCTTCTGCGCGCCCTGAGCTGGGCATTGGCCGAGCGGCAGCCGGGTGGCGCCCCACGGCTTCGGCCGCCCGCCCGGGAGAGCTCGGCCGTCGTCCGGGATCTCGGCGGCGGGCCTGTCGCGCGTGCGACCGCCGCACTCAATATCAGGGCGACGGCAGCCCGCCGGGACGGGCGCGGCACCGCCGACCGAATCGAACGTCCGAGAGCAGCGGCGGCTTCGGAGCCGTCGCCGCGCCCGCCGCCGGGCCGCCGGCCGGGGTGCAGCTGACCCGGGCGGCTGACCTGGTCAGCTGACTTGGTCAGCTGACACTGGGACTCCGTCGGAGGACGCAGGTGACCTTGGCAACGCATGTCAGGGGCTATCCGGGCGGCTGATTGGAACCGTACGCTGAGCTATGTGTCCATGGCTCACCCTTTCCCCTCCCCCTTCATTTCTTTCTGGTCCCTCACCCTCCGTCGAGGAATCTGAATCACTAGAAAACCAGCTAAAAAGCTCAAGTAACCTCACATAGTTGATTCGAAAATCAGGCTCTTGCTGCATGGGTTGCTTGAGGCACCATCTCTATTGAAGACCTGACATAGCCAACTGACCTGAGCGGCGTTCAGAACAGCGCCGGAAACGCTGGGTCTGACGGCTTCCGACGTTGGACGAAAAGCTCACGATTCCAACATTTGTCACGATTTGAACAGCTCGCCTGTCGCAGCCGCACAGGGTAATACGCCGCCGCAGCTGTCAGCTCAGCACGGCCCCGACCGGGCCGACCGCCAGACCGGCCGCCGGTCGGTGTTGATGCCACGCCTCTGACCGGGTCGGCGCTCCGCCGAGCGGCGGAGCGGAGCCGCCCCCGGGAGTCGGAAGCCCGGTCGACAGAGCGTCCGGCCCCCGCCGCGGCCCGGAGGCTGCGGGCGCGCGCGACGCGTCCGCGCTGGCAGGCCTCCAGCCGGCGACGTTCGGGGACGCGCCAAAAATACGGCGCGAAGCCGGCCCGCCACGCAGATGCATCCGAACGCTCGTGATGCGAACGGACGCGATGGAAAGGGATCTCATCGGATTGAATGCGATCGCACCGAGGTCGTCACGGACCCGTCAGAGGAGCCCATCGGATTGGCTCCGATCCGGTCGGACTGGACTGCGCTGTGGTCTAAAGTTCATCCGAGCCGTAACGGTTTTTAACGGACCACCCGACCATAGATTCAGATCGACGACTGGATCTGAGCAGCACCGATTTCGATGTGATCGTTCCGAGCGCTGACCCGGTCCAAAGAGTCGATATCCGGACGTCGACTGGGTGCTGCCATATCGACGCCTCGCCCGAATGTGGCGGAACAGTTTCCCAGCAGCCCTGCATTTTTAATGAGTCCCCAACTTTTCCCCAAGCGTGCATGCCGGCACGTGACCTGCGAGCGCGCGTGGCGAGATATGACCCGGGCCACCGCCTGGCCGGCCTGCGACTGGTGCCGACTTCGAGTCGTGACGTTCGATGGCTTGGAGCGGCGCAGGCGGCTGAAATGAAGATTGATTGCCACAGGCGCCGGAGCCGCCCGCTATTGCGGAATCACGGGCTCATATAAGCTTCCGCGGGAGTTAGCCTGCCGGCCCAGTTGACAGAGTGCTTGGTATCCGGTGACCGACCATATTGCCGCGTAACTCGGCTGACAATGTGTGCACAAAGGCGCTTGATTAAATGAGAACCTGCAATGCTCTAAGTCTGAAACGGCCTCGTGACCAAGTTGTCGCATTTCTGCAACTTTTTGCGTCATTGTATCAATTCGCCTCCGGTTGCAAACTTTTGAACTTACGGAGTAATGCGGACTGGGATCCTGGTGGGGCTTGTGAAATGGCGTTTTGTCGGCAAAAACTTGGCCGACGGCGGAAACAATTTCATGTGCAGACCTACATCTGAAATGAGGTATTTTGTTGAAAGGATAACAGAACTCTTGTCTGAACTAGATTTGTGAGCAGTTGTGGGCGTTTCCTCCTGATTGATGGCATGTACTCAATCGCCGGGAGTTGTTTCCCGTTACTCTGCATTTATTCATCACGATGTGGTGTCCCTATGGGGTGCGAGTGAGCGATAATGGTGCTTCAGTTTTTGCAACCGTTTTAATCCATCGCGTTACGAGCCTGAAACGAGGCACAAAAGCAGCATCATGTCAGCTAGTCAGGATTTGATCGGGTTGAAACTGCTTCTTGATGGAATCATTTGGTTTGTCTGGAAACATAAGGTCAGAGAGCTTTTTTGGCAACCCTCTGACGGCTGGTGACTGTAGCATGGGCTGTCAGCATGGGCTGTGGCTTAATACATGTTTGTGATGCGAGAAACCGCGGTTGTCAGCGCAACATACAAACAAACAACGCCGCTGACACCCTATTCACGGCTTCGGACAGGAATCGGCCGACGGCCGGGCTTTGCATAGCACGACGCCAGCACCTCTGTCGAGGCGAAAGGGCCCTGGAGCAAAATGACCCGGCTGATCTGAGTGCCGGCTGATGCAGTCGTCACGGGCGTACCGTGATTCCACCCCTAAAGCCAACCTCGCGCACCCCGCGGCTTTACAGCAAATGCCCCACGTGCTGGCCGGGCGCGGCGCTCCCAGCGGCCGGCAGTAACGCCGCCCCGGCAGCGCTGTTCCGAACTTCAGCGCCGCGTCGCTCCCGACGACATGGCGACTCGTGATTAAGACCTGGTATGAATGTGTGTCGGCCGTGCCTCACGGCGGTGCCGCGGGCAGCCGGCGGCCGCCGCGGGACGTCCCAGGCGCGCCTGAGATACGGCGCCGTATTTTGGCGCGAGTTCGGACGCAACGCCGCGCGTGGCGCCGGCGGCAGTGTAGCGCGACTACGACACGGTCCGTCGGGCTCGGGGCATGTCCGGAGGCGAAAGCCGATCCTCTTTCGGGGGGGGGGGGGGGACAGCGCTGGCAGGAACGCAAAAGTAATGTACCGCTCCCTGTGTCATCCACCCTACCCTTGCATCCGGAGCGAGCTTCCTCCGCAACATGACAGGTATATGGCACGTGCATGCTATCAGTTGTGGAGGCCCGACCCTGTACTCCGAGTTACAGACTACAGAATAAAATTTCAGCCCCGTGCTATACCAGCCAGCGGTGTTCTGCCAGCGCCCTCGTTATGAGGATGTTGCCCGGATTGACAGTGCCGGGCTTCTTTTAGCACCAGAAACTGTTGGCGGATTTGAATACATTGAAAGTTGGTCCTAGTGCCGGAGCAGCAAAACCCTCGGGGTCTTTAGGCCGATGGCAGTAAGTGGCGGCTGATGCCGGCAGAGTGCTGGCACCCAGCTGCTAGTAGATATGACAGATCTACTCGACACGTCCCCATCAGGTTGTCCATGCTTCACCTTTTGTCCGTCTTATGACATTTGTTACGGCTGGTCACACCCACTGTTTTGCCCTCGCGTGAGCGGATGTTTCCATGGCGATTGGCGAGCATGGGCTGCCCCACGTGCGGGCGTCACTGCTCTCATAACTCGGTCCGGGGTTGTCTGGTCGCACGTGAAGCGTCCCTCACCACCGTCAGCACCCACGCAGGGCGGGCCGGCAGAGCCACCGCCGACGCCACCGCAGCATGCCTCACACGACTCCTGGCCGCGGCGGCATGGCATGCCTCGCACGACCCCTGGCTGCGGCGACATGGCATGCCTCGCACGACCCCTGGCCGCGGCGGCATAGCATGCCTCGCACGACCCCTAGCCGCGGCGGCATGGTCTGCCTCGCACGACCCCTGGCTGTGGCGACATGGCATGCCTCGCACGACTCCTGGCCGCGACGACATGGCATGCCTCGCACGACCCCTGGCTGCGGCGACGTGGCATGCCTCGCACGATCTTTGGCGGCGGCGGCATGGCATGCCTCGCACGACCCCTGGCCGCGGAGACATGGCATGCTTCGCACGACCCCTGGCCGCGGAGACATGGCATGCTTCGCACGACCCCTGGCCGCGGCGACATGGCATGCCTCGCACG